AAGACAGACACACACATAGACACAGACAAACACACGCACAGAAAAAAAAATTTTCAAGGCATTATCGGGACTCTTCGTAATAAGAGGGTTCCGTTCACAGATCAGCGATAACGCACTTTCTACAAATGTCTAAAACTTTTACAAAGAAATAACTTCACATCTGCACCTTTCTTCTAACTATTACTCCTCAAAATAATGCTGTAAACAAAACTGTCCCTCCACTTCTACACATATAATTTAAGAAGTTCTAATAAATCCAGCTCTTAATGGATAGCCTTGACCTTTTCAGCAAGCTCTAAAGAACCTACCAAATACCCTAACTTATGAAAAATCAATTTTTCAAAATGGACTCTGCTCAACCATTTAGAGTGTCAACTTCACCTCGACATCTGAACCAAATGAATTGTAACATAAAATAATCTGCTGAAATCCGCAATGTCAGGACGAATTTGAGCAAAAGAAGCACAAAGAAATCCAGCACTTAAAATAGTTGTTCCACACGACGATGACTACGACCTCAAAACGTCTCAAAGCGTCACATATATCTTGAGGACGCACATGTTCTAGGCATTCTGAACACCATTTAATGACTAACTAAAAAAACACTCTTCAAAATTCCCTATACAACAAGTCTTCGTAATCCCGCTAAACCCGTCTGAACTGTTTCGGCATACGATCAGGTCACAACTTTCAAAGAACTTCTTCCTCTTATATGGGATCTGCACGCAGTAACTATACGCAATTTACAATGTTTTATAAAAAAAAAGGCCCCTGCTTTAAACAGTATTAAAGAATACTGGCAAGCAACAAAAGAATATTCATCAAAGCGTACTCCATATATTCAAAACTGTAATATGGACTGACGCTTCAAAGCCTATTTTCCTCTGCAGCACAGGGAAATGTACGACTGCAAACAAAAATTCGTTGACACTCCTATTGTCAAAAATCACATTAGGGGAAACCTGTGAACAAAATTTTTTAGACTCTGAACAAATCAGATTAATTTTTGCAAAATGAGCTCATAACGGAATCATTTTGGTGCTGATTGCGTAAGCAAAAAATAATTTGTGGTTTTAGTTTAAGTTTGCGGTCCAGATTCGTACTTGTAATTCCCAAATTCCTGACGAAGTGTTCAATTAACATCATATCCACCAGAATTCGAAAAAACTTCTTATTAAAATTCAAACAATTCCTAAAATAAAACCACAGCAAAAACCAACATCCATAAATAGAACAACAGTTTTTATTAAGAACAAGGTGTTATTGAGCATATTCTTTGGAGTTCCGAAAGTGGCTTGTCAAAATGATTTTCCCAATCAAGAGCGATCAGCAAACGAGCTTTTGTAGCTTGCTCGAATACCCAAGGCAGGTATTTATGATAAAGTATGCGTCTGTGCCTAACAACAAAAAAAAATATTTTCATGAAACTCAACCAAAAAGCTTCAAGAAGCAAGATAAAAGAAAAAGCTAACTTCTTTTTTAGTCTAGCCCCACCAAATATACTGCCAAGAATGCACATCGGAAGTCCAAATTGAATGCCTTCAAAATACTTTACCGTCACCTGGAAAGAAAAGAGATTGAGAAAAGACTGTCTCCCTTAAAAAATACTGAAGGGTAACTATTTCTCGCAAGAAAATACCTCTCCTAACATATGAGTTTTCATCTGCAACAAGACATGGTTAAAGTCGTGCGTTTCTCGATACCTTTGCATCACATAAACCAAATCTGGATCATCAACAAACTACAATTATTCTACATTTATGCGGTAAAAACAAGGCTAATAAGCAAATAGCAAAATTAAATTGCAGTACATTTTTTAAATCTACCAATGTCACAAACCTTAACAGTGGGTCTTGAATCTGGGTCTGTATCGAGACGAAGAAGGAACTTATCATACTCCTTCCCTAAGGTGCCATCTGGCAAAGATCTCAAGTAGTTTCGGTCGATTGTGGCATTGGTAATTCGCGGACGGTCCCTTTAAAATAACAGATATGAAAACATATAATAATAATCATACAAATAA